GTCTTATCATGCTCTTGCTGCCCTTTTTGCCTTGGCTCCCTGTAATCTATTCTCCCTGCCACAGCAAATGTCTTTCTCAGACATAAATATAAGTGTCATTAACCTTTTGAAACCGTTCAGAGAGTTTTCTCTACCTTTAGGATTAAAGTCTAAACTGGTTTAAAAGACCTCTCATGAATTATTGGCTCTGCCTCCTTCTCTCTTCTTTCCTTTCTAGTACTTACTGTGAATGTTTCCCACTTTGACTCCAACTCATAATATGAAATACATTTTCATTGTGACTTACTGCATACCCATGGATATATGCGTATACACTCGTTGTATATGTAAAATTGAAATAATCGCATAATAAATTCTATAAGCTGAAACGTACTACTATGTACTTTGACATTTTAAATTTTATTTCACTAAAAAATTCTAGTAAAGATTAAATTAATTTCTTGACCCATGGTGGATGAAGGCCTGCAGTTTGAAAAAATACTATTCTGTGCCTCGGTCCAGGTGAACTTGAACAGCATCTCCAGCTCTCAGATCTACCACGCGCTTTGACCTTCAGGCCTTTAATGTGCTGTTTGTTCCTTCAGCCTCAGGCATCTGTCTGTCCCTTCTGACTTGTCTGGCTTTGTTCTCATCTTTGGATTTCACCTTTAAAGTCATGTATTTGAGGAAGCCTACCAGGTCCTTAGATTTGGACACACTTCTTCCTTGGTCATGTGTTTCCAGAACATCATCTCTCTCTATCACCATACTTGTCATGCTTGTTCGGAAGTACTTGTTTAATGGCTGTGTCCCTTGCCTCAACCCTCTGCCCCAAGAATGTAACAGCACATGCATGAGGAATGAGTTTCTAAGCCGAATTCTGGCATGTAGTAGGTACTTAATGGAGGGAGAGTATGAATGAATTTGCTTGGGAGGAAACTAAAAAGTGAGCAGTATAAGAATGGGAAACTATGTTCTCACTCATAAGCAGACCTTCAACAATTATAATACTATAAGAAAGGGATTGGCAGTAGTGGGAAACTGCTAGGGGAGGGGCATACCTCATCAGCAAGGGTACCCGCATAATCAACGTTTGTATACCTAACCCTGAATTGTACCTCACACATTTATAATACAAATAAATATATATATATCAGGAAAAAAAAGCATGGGAAACTTCTTAGGTAATGGTGAATGGTTGTGCCAGAAACTCAAGGTGCTTTGTCTTACCGTTGTGATTTTTTTTCCCCTTGAGTTGGAGTCTCACTCTGTCACCCAGGCACGCTCACAGCTATCACAACCATGACTTGCTAGATTCAGGCATCCTTCTGCCTCAGCCTTCGAAGTAGCTGGGACTACAGGCACACACCACCATGCCTGGTTAATTGTTTGTAGAGATGAGGTCTCACCAAGCTCCCCAAGCTGGTCTCAAACCTGTGGGCTCAGACAATCCTCTCACCTCGGCCTCCCAAAATGCTGGGATTATAGGCATGAGCCACTGTGCCCGGCCCGTCTTGAGTTTTTTAAAGCTTTTTGTACTGTGGACCCTTTTAGCTTCTGATAAAAGTCACAAACACTTTCTCAGAATAATGTCTTTATTTAATTTTAATTTTTTTTTTTTTTTTTTTTTTAAGAGATGAGGTCTAGCCAAGATGTCCAGGCTGGTCTCGAACCTGGGCTCAGGCAATCCTCTCACCTTGGCCTCCCAAAGTGCTGGGATTATAGGTGTGAGCCGTTACACCTGGCCCAGAATAATGTTTTTAAATGCATAAGATAAAACAGAATTACAAAGGAAACCATTGAAATATTGTATAGTATTGTATTGAAATATACTTGTCAAAATATTCTTTTTTTTTTTTGAGTCAGGGTGTCACTCTTGTTCAGACTGGAGTACAGTGACATGATCATTGCAGTCTCCAACCTCTGGACTCAAACAATCCTCCATCCTCAGCCTCCTGAGTAGCTGGGATTATAGTTGTGCACCACTACACCTGGCTAAGTTTCTTTGTTTTTTGCTTTCTTTTTGTAGAGATGAGGGCTTGCTGTGTTGCCTAGTCTGGTTTCGAACTCCTGGGTTCACGCAATCCTCCTGCCTCTGCCTCCAGAGTATTGGGTTTACAGGTGTGAGTCACTGGGCCTGGCCAAAACAAATTTTTTATATAGAAATATGTTCTTTTTTATAAATTCATTAAGAAATATGACAAAAGGTCTACTAGTTTAATTTTGAAATTAAGCTTGAACTTAAGTGGTACTTCAGCATATTTCTAAAAACTGTGAAATGAAAACATATGGTTTTTGAACTGTAACAAAGACATAGGTGCTGGTAATAATACAATGGTTTATTGCCTACATAAATATGGAGAGAAATGCAAAATTTCAGTTCAAGGTTAGAGAAAATAAAGATGGAATTAACTTCTATGTTTATGTACTACTCTGAATTCAAAGGGTCTTTGGATTAAGACCCCAGGGTAGCTTGTGTAGAACTTTCTAAGCTATGGTAACTAGTAGAGAATATACTTTTTCTTTCGTTTTTTGAGTTAGAACCTAACTCTGTCAGGCAGACTGGAGTGCAGTGGCATACTCACAGCCACCACAACCTCAACCTACTGAGCTCAGGTGATCCTTCTGGCTCAGCCTTCCAAGTAACTGGAACTACAGGCATGCGCCACCACGCCTGGCTAATTTTTTAAAAATTTGTTGTAGAGATGAGGTCTTGCCAAGTTGCCTGGGCTGGTCTCAAACCCATGGGCTCAGGCAGTCTTCTCACCTCAGCCTCCCAAAGTGCTGGGATTATAGTCGTAAGCCACCATGCCCAGCCAAGAATGTGCTTTTTCCAACCCAGTTGGAAATTGGCAGCTGGAGTTCAATACAAGTTACAGGTAAGGGAAGGAATTCAAGATAGTGGTGGAAGTTGACAGGATAAGGGAGCAAGTAGACTCAGAAGGGGTTTATAGACTCTGAGAAGAGCTGCAGCCAAGTTGGCTTGCTTGTGTGAGGGCCAGAGGCCATGTTGAGGGGGCCGTAGGTTCTGCAGCTGATACAGATATTTCTGCAGTAATATCGTATGTGTGTTCATGGAAAACCTTCAAAGTTGTGTGCTAGAAAAATAACAGAGCTCATGGAGAAAATAGGATTGAGGCAGACTTGAAAATACATGAAATTTTAAAAATCGCTGCTAACAAAGGCGTTAACTAATAAGGATGGTGACCTCCTAACATTTGCACCCAACACGGCATCAGGCAGCTCTTCGCAGCCTTGGTGTTGGTGGCTCTTGTTTCCTCCTTTGAGACGTAGGGCCTTGAGGGATTGCTTTGAAAAGAATTCATTTTTATCAAAATTGAAAATCTGAACCAGGGTATAGAATTCAGTCGATTTTTTTGTTTGTTTGTTACCCCTTAACAGTAGCAAATGTTTTTGCACGTTTCAGCTTTTCCCACGTGTCTTACTACTGTCGTGGAAGTACAGTGACTATTAAGCCCACTACTCTGAGGTCTCATTATGAAGGCCTGTTCTTAATTGTGTGAAAGTTCGCCCTTGATCCCTTCAAAACATCAATGGGCTGGGAGAAAACGTTAGCCAGTGCCACCTCTGCATTTTGTTGGCTTCATTCCCGTATTTACCAATGGCGCATGAGATAATTCAGGATAAAGAACCAGGCAGTATACAGCACAACAGACATTATGTGGGCAAAGTGTTGTTTATAGTCTGTCTAAATAATGTTTCACACATATGTACTATTTTCTAAATATGTGTAGATACTGTTGTGATTAATAATAAAACATGAGTACTTAAAACAGTTTTGCTGACTCCATAGTAACTTTTCACCATTTTCTCAATTAGTGGCTTCTAAAATTTTTGGAAACTTTGAGAACTATCGCTTTGGAGCAAAATGAAGTGTGCTAGAGATCACTTGCAGAATTCTTTTAAGGGAATTTATTGGAGACCAGGGGGAAAAAATTCTTCCATATGCCAATAGTAATACGGAGTAAGTTATTGTTGAGCTTATGTAAAGTGTTGAGAGCTATACTAAGAGTCGTGTATATCTTATTTATTCATCTTCTGGGTAATTGCTGTTGTTCCATTGTATAAAAATGGGCACGGTGGCTCAAGCCTGTAATCCCAGCACTTTGGGAGGCCGAGGCAAGAGGATTGCCTGAGCTCAGGGGTTCCAGAGCAGCCTGGGCAACTTGACCAGACCTCATCTCTAAAATAAACAAACAAACAAACAAACAAGCCAGGCATGGTAGCGTGCCTGTAGTTCCAGCTACTTGGAAGGCTGAAGCGGAATGATCGCTGGAGCCTACCAGGTTGACGCTGGGGTGGTCATGAGCGTGCCACTGCACTCCAGCCTGGACAACAGAGTGAGACTCTGACTCAAAAAAAAAAACCAAAAAACAAACAGGAAAAGAGGACTCAGTGTAGCCTGCTTCAGATAACATAGCTTATAGGAAGCATGACTGGGATTGGCACCCAGGTCTCTGCTCCTGCTTTTCCCACTGCTTCATATAACACCTCGCATCATTCTCCAGCGTGTACTGTTACATATCATCAAGCAAAGTTCCATTGTGTAAAAACTTGGCTTGATTTAATCTCTGTTAATTGGAACACCATATTAATGGAAATTAGGAATATAAGGTAAGCTAGAGGTCTTATCTTAATGATTTTGACTTTGAGTTATTAAATCTACAATAAATGAAATTCGTTTAGTTGTAATTAGTGCCACGTTTTTGTTTCTCTAATGCTCATTATGAAGGAGGTTATAGACAAACCGGGGAGGCAGTGTAGTATTAATAAGTGGGCATCTCTGAGTGCTAGGTCATCTCCCTTTGTATAAAGTAAATTGAGCACTAAGCATATTTGAGTTAAAAAATGCTTCAGTAAATAATAACTTTGGAGACCTGCGGTACTAATTGTACCTTTTGGTTCAAATGATGTTCTTCATTGCAGTTAGTTTTTTATGATCTGTCATCTTTTATTTTTTAAAATGAGATCTTTGTCTTTTTCTTAATATTTTCTTTTAGGAAAACACCAGACATTGCTGCTGGCAGTTTTTGTGACTCCACTTATCGATCTTCGTTCTGATTTCTCCAAGTTTCAAGAGATGATAGAAACAACTTTAGATATGGATCAGGTATGCAGTATACTTTTTAATTCAAGCAGAATGTTTTTGAAAAGCAAAGGCACGTTAGGAAAGTTTCATGTTTCTCTTTTTAGTGTCAAATTGGGCACTTTTGTGTGGCATCTTTGTAGACAGTGGATGTAAGATTAAGTAACATATGGGAAAAGGATTTTCTAAAATATAGCAGTTGTTTTAGTGGGTGAAAATAATGATTAATAGGAGATGAATATTGGGCATAACTGGCCTAAAGAAAATCTCATAAATAAGTGATTTTACATATTCAACTGAGCTTTATTTTATATCCAAGAGGAAAGGGAAATTATAGTCACTAGAAAAGGGAAGAGAAGGTAGAGGAATGCAAGAGAAACCTCTTTTGTTAATTTTTCCTGTGGAAAAGTTCTTTGCGAGAGGAGGTTAGGATATGTGTGTATCTCCTAAATAGTTGTCAAATATAACTAAAAAATTAACTACTTCAAAATAGTTTACTTCCAAATTTCTTTTTTTTTTTTTGGGGTTGGAGTCTCACTCTGTCACCCAGACTGGAGTGCAGTGGCCGCTCCTGGCCACCGCAGCCTCAACCTGCTGGGCTCTGGCGATCCTTCTGCCTCAGCCTTCCAAGTAGCTGGAACTACAGGCGCGCGCTACCACGCCCGGCTCATTTTGATTTATTGTAGAGATGAGGTCTCCCCAAGTTGCCCAGGTGGGTCTCGAACCCGCGGGTTCAGGCAATCCACTCACGTCAGCCTCCCAAAGGCGGGGGATTACAGGCTGAGCCACCGAGCCTGGCTCCAAATTTCATTTTAATTGAGAACATTTAAGGTTTAATTTAAGTAATCTGTGTCTTCAAGTTTTTAAACAATTTTGAGCAATAATTTATATATAAATATAAAGTAGGAATAGTTTCTGAAATAGTTGAAAATATTCTTACATGAAAATGAATTTGAAAGCAAACTTTATGAAATGGTAAAATTTTGTTTTGTTTTGTATGTGTTAAAATTTGTTTATATGAACAAGTTTAATATGATGGGGCCATTGAATGTAGTGTTTTTAAATTGGTACTCATGTGACTTTAAAAATAATATTTTGAAATTTTTCTAAATTAAATTTCCTGTTAGCCGGGCTCGGTGGCTCAGCCTGTAATCCTGCGCCTTTGGGAGGCTGAGGTGAGCGGATTGCCTGAGGCCGCGGGTTCAAGACCCGCCTGGGCAGCGAGACCTCATCTCTACAATAAATCAAAAAATCAGCCGGGCATGGTAGCACATGCCTGTAATTCCGGCTACTTGCAAGGCTAAGGCGGAAGGATCGCTGGAGCCCAGCAGGTCAAGGCTCCCGGCCACCACACTCCAGTCTGGGCGACAGAGTGAGACTCCAACTCAAAAAAAAAAAAAAAATTTTTCCTGTTAAAATCACATGCAGAGAATATGTGCTCACGTTATTCATGTTAATAAGGTTAACAGTTTGATTTGCTAATTGTTAGAGTCTTCACATTCTTTTTAATATCTATCTAGGTTTGTTTAATATTTGCCCTATGTGATGTTGATTTATTTTTTTTACTGGATCATTAGCTAAAACATAAATTAAATCTTATTTGCTCTGTACTCTCTGAATTTTAAAAGGATGCAGTGGCGGGGTGTGGCTCAGGCCAAGGGCAGTTGGCTCACGCCTATAATCCCAGCACTTTGGGAGGCCAAGGCTCAAGGATCACTTGAGCCCAGGAGTTCAAGACCAGCCTGGGCAACGTAGTGAGACCTTGTCTCTACAAAAACAAATGAATAAAGAATAAATATTTTTCACAGTGCATTGTGTATAGGTATAAATGCTTCTGCCTTCCAGTATATTTTATGTCAGTAGTAGTCTTTTCCATCTAATTAGAGGTTAAGCAACCAAAAAATTTGTATCATCATCTCTTGTCTGGGAAAACTTGCATGTTGGCTGTTGTTTCCTCTGTAATGTTGATATTAGTGAAACAGTTTTTAGGTCTTGAGTTTTAAATTAATGGGAGGCAGGAATACTGTTCTGGGGCATCTAGGCACTGAATGTGTACACCTACCTCTCTGCTGAGGGTGTGGCCTTGCCTCTGATGGGGCAGAGTTGGGTTTCTGTAAATATTTCTTTTTTTTTTTGAGTTGAAGTCTCACTCTTGTCACCCAGGCTGGAGTGCAGTGGCACGCTCACTGCCACTGCAGCCTCGACTTTCTGGGCTTAGGCGATCCTTCTGCCTCTGCCTTCCAAGTAGCTGGAACTACAGATGCACGCCACCACGCCTGGCTAGTTTTTTTATTTATTGCAGAGATGAGGTCTCACCAGGTTGCCCAGGCTGGTCTCGAACCCCCCGGGCTCAGGCAGTCCTCTCATCTCAGCTTCCCAAAGTGCTGCAATCACAGGCTGAACTACCGCGACCCGTCCTAAATATTCCTTTAAATAGAAACATGTAAAGGTGTTCCTGATGATTAACAAAAACTATGACCATAGTAGAGCCTAATAGGAGGTGGGTGGGACAAGTATCGAGCTTTTCGGCGTCACCCAACTGTACACCCTTGAAGGGACCCAGAGCCCAGGCAAGGCTCTCTTGAAATGCTGCAGTGGATTTTGTCATTTGGAGCCACTTTCATTCTTCTAAGTTTGCACAAATCTTACTTTAGTATTGTGGATCTCAAGTTTAAGCAAAAGTGTCCTGGGGGACTTGTTAAATTGCTAGACCCCCCAAGCCCAGGTTCTTTAGGTCTGCCTGGGGTAGGGCTGGAGAATTTGCCTTTCTAACACATAACTCAGATTTGTTGATGCTGCTTGTCCGGGGACTGCACTCTGAGAACTACTTGCTTAATAAATTAGAAATATAAGCCGGTGTGGTGGCTCATACCTATAATCTCAGCACTTTGAGAGGCAGAGGCAAGAGGATTGCTGGAATCCACAAGTTCAAGACCAGCCTGGGCAACATGGCAAGACCTTGTCTCTACATAAATAAAAAATTTGCTGGGTGTGGTGGCGCACACCTGTAGTTCCAACTCCTTGGAAGGCTAAGGCAGAAGGATCACCTGAGCCCAGCAAGTAGAGGCTGTGGTGGCCATGAGTGTGACACTGCACTGCAGCCTGGGTGATAGATTGAGACTCCAACTCATAAAAGAAAAAAAAATTAGGAATGTAATTGACATCAACTTAAGTATGAGTATATGATTTCTTTCCACCAACTTGTAGCTTCCCTTAGACAATCACTGGACAATATCTGTCCAAAAATTGGTTTGTCTAATTGAGAATGTCTAAGAGGTGGCAAAAATTTGTAGCCTCTTCTGTTCTTCTGTTAAACAGGCAGATGTCCTACTAAGGATCCTCTTGCAGCTGTCTTTTTAGCTGGCCCATCACATTTCTGCCTGATAGGTCATTTAAGTGGTTGGGTGGTGGTCTTTTCCACCTCATCACAGAGGGGATAGGTAAGATAGGCACTGATATCACCATGATGGACAGCAGGCAGATGGGTGTGTTAGTCACACAGCTGCTGCCAGTTGATGGTGTCTGGGTCATGAAGATCATGTAGGTCGGATTAGGTTAACTTGTTTACAAAACATACTGGGGAGGGGGTTGTAAAGCAATTATCACTTGCTACCTCTGAGAAACAGGTTTTATCCTTGGCTCCTGATTAGAGGGTAAATTAAAGTGAACTGCTAGAAAAACATGACAAAGCTAAGCAATGTTAAAATGGCTTCTCATTGGGTATATCAGCTCCATCTTTTGCCCTTTCAGTGGGTTAAGGATTCTTACTTTGATCATAAATATTTGAAACATATCCATTGAACTACAACTTACCCTGACTGTAAAACAGTTGATCAGTGTTAATTCTTGAATGATGCTGTGGATTAGAGGATTTTATAAGTGTCTGGGAAGATTGGATTTTGGGAAGGTAGAAGGTAAGCAGTGCAGTTAGGTAGATATAGACTAGAAAAGAAGGAGTCATTTTTTCTCATTCATTGCTGTACTTTAAATATGACAGACCCTATGAGAAGATTGCCTCAGCCCAGGGGTTTGAGACAAGCCTGGGCAACTTGACAAGTTTCTGCTATAAACCAAAAAATTAGCCGGGCATGGTGGCATGCCCCTGTGGTTCCAGCTCCTTGGAAGGCTGAGGTAGAAGGATCACCTGAGCCCAGCAGGTCGAGGCTGTGGTAGCTGTGAGCACTGCACTAAGAATCCGACTCCAAAAAACAAAAATAATATGTGGGGGGGCCACACCTCATCAATAAGGGTACCTGATAATGAACACTTATATACCTAACCCTGAATTGTACCTCACAACTTTAAAATTTTAAAAAAAAATGATAGGCCCCAGTTTGGTTTTTTTGAGTTGGAGTCTCATGTGTTGTCCAACCTGGAGTGCCTCTCCCAGCCACCGGCTGACTGGGCTCAGGAAGTCCCTCAGCCTTCCAAGTAGCTGGAACTACAGGCATGCACCACCACACCTGGCTAATTTTCTTATTTGTTGTAGAGACGAGGTCTCACCAAGTTGCCCATGCTGGTCTCGAAACCCTGGGCACAGGCAGTCCTGTCGCCTGTGCCTCCCAAAGTGCTGGGATTGGTGAGCCACCGCACCCAACTTGCAGGCCCGAATTAATGGTATCAAGGAGGAAAAGCTTTTCTTCTGTCCTTTAGGTTTAGTGGCATATTAAATTGGAAAAAGACATATTAGCGAGAGAAAAGGCTGTTTGAATTTGGTCTTTATATGCCATCTTAATAGGGGAAGGGAAAACAAATGACTTTTGAGAATAAAAAATAAAGATAAATGGGCACTTGAGAGAATAGTTGCCAGATGTGTTGGTTTTGTGACAATGTCTGTTTAGGTGTGGTGGTTACTTCTCTCCTGGTGGTGAGTCAGTTTTCTCTTGTTGCTATAAACTCCCTGAAGGGGGATTATGACAATTGAGTTCTTTTGAAAGGCTGTTTTAAGCAGCTAAGGGAGTTCAGGATAAAAAGCTCATTCCCATATGCCTTCAGGGCACAGAAATTTTTATGCCACAGTTAAG